CGCTTGATTCATCTAATTAAGAATCTTCATCCACTTCTTCAGAGTCAAATTCAGTAAGAGTAAAATCATATATATCAAGAAAATGCTCTAAATTTTCTGAAAATTTCATTTTATAATTTAAAAATTTTTGGTTTAAATTATTAAGAGTTTGATTAGATTAAATTGTAACAGTGTTTTTTAGTTTAACATTATTGATACAGACGAAAATAGCTTTGATATTATTACTAAACCAAATTGTTATTATTGAAATTATTTTATATTAGTTTAGTTTTTAAAATTATTTTTATTTAATGTAAATTTTTATTAAATAAAAAAATAAAACTTTTACAAAATTAAACCAATTATAGAAGTAATTTACAAACATTATTACATAACAATTATAAAAAATTGCTAATGATTACAAGAATTATAATTTTTTTAATAATAATGAAATTACTTCAATAATATATGTGATTATAACAAAAAAAATAAACTGTATTACTGATGAAATCCAAAGTCTCAACCTACTAACTAAAAAAATAAAGAAAAACAACTATGTATAAAGTAATTGTTGATAGCAATAACAAACCATAGTGCCAATAAAATTCTAAGTCTTTAATCACTATCTGAAAGAAAAAAAAAAGTTGTAATTAATATATATAGACAAAAGAATAACAGTAAAAAATCCATATTACAGTAGCAATGAACTGCAAAGTTCTAAATTCTACCACCAATAATGCATTGTATTACTGATGAAACCAGGCGATGACCAGTGACCTTAAAAAAGAAATACAAAAAGAAAATATAAAGTATACCATTAATATTAATATACAATAAATATATAAACAAAAGAACAACTACAGCATATATACAGTAATTGTTTAGCAATGACAAACTATAGCACCAATGAAATTCTAAGTCTCTAATCACTACCTGAAAGAAAAAAAAAAGGTTGTAGTCAATACCAGGTTGGTGAAAAGTAACTGGATAGTGACCTTTTTTTAATCACTATAATTATCATTTTAACATTTAGTAATCATTGCAATAAATTGATAAAAATTGTTATTTATTGAAACATTAAATTGATAATCATATTGGTTAAAAAAAGGTCACTGTCTAGTTACTTTTCACCAACCTGGTATGTGTAGACATAAAAATAACAGTAGAAAATTAAGAAACTGCAAAGTCCTGAATTCTGCTACCAACAATATGATAAAACCAAATGATGACTACCATAATTTGCAGCAAATAGTACTCTAGGTCTCTTACATTTCTAGGAGCAAAATCTTAATTAGTACCTAGTGGGTACTTTGTCAGATGGTGAGTATTTTATGTGGGAAGTTTATGTAAGGAAAATACTTTAATTGACCAATTATTTAATAGAATTATAATGAAATTGAAAAAAAATAAAAGAAATCATGCACTATATAAATTACTTCCTAGATATACCCAGGTCTTTTACAATCATGTTTGTGATAAATACTTGATTAATCCCAGGTATAAATCGTGAGGTACACTAAAAAGGGGGTACTATTTGCCAAAAATTACAGTAGTAATCTTAAAAAAAAAAATGTGAAAGATATACTATTAACATTAATGTACAGTATATATATAAACAAAAGAACAACTATGTATATAGCGATCATTACAGCAACAACAAACCATAGCACCAATGAAATCCTAAGTCTCTAATCACTACCTGAAAGAAAAAAAAAAGGCTGTAGTCAATATGTATAGATGAATAATAACAGTCCTAAATTCTACTACTAACAACGTGATGGCAACAACCAGTGATCTTAAAAAAAAAGAAATGCGAAAAGAGAAATATAATGTATACTATTACAGTATTAACAATAAACGTATTTGATCAGATTTTTTAGGGGTACAAATATTATTAAATGTCCGATGATAGATTTATCATAGATAGCACATAGCTAACCAACTATATACAAAATATACTTGAAAGCCCGATTGTAGGTTTTCCCTTGATGGCACCCATATAATTAAAATAAAAAAATTTTGATCGAATTTGATTATGTAATGGCCAAGTTATCTTCGTTTAAAGTTTAGATATCTGTAATAAAGAAAGCTGCAGCCAAATTTTTTTAAACTTTTAATTAATATTTCTCAACATCTGTCTATTTAATTTCAGGAATTTTTTTTTATTTTAATTCTACATACTTGCAGAAACAAAATAAAAAAAGGAGAATTTACATATAAGTACCCGGAAAGTGAAAATAATTACAAATAAGTGCCCAGACTAAAAATAATTACATGTGCCTAATATTTAAAAAATATTACATATAGGTGCCCAAGAACGTACCATGACTTAAGCCTGTGGCTTAATCATCGTTAATTAAACATAGCATAAGAAATGTAATCATCAATTGTAAATTAGTACATAATTTTAAATCATTAATAAGCATAGCATAAGAAATGTAATCATTGATTGTAAATTAGTATGTAATTATAAATGAGGAAAAAAAATGGGCTTTTTGTTTTTTTTTTTTAATAAATTTTATTTGCTTTGTTAATATTACCTATTTTTATAACAAACCTGTTCAATAACAATAATCTCAAATACAACACTGCAAATCGGTATGAAATTTCCTGATATGGAAAATGTTTGCTCAGCTCTAGAGAAATACTCAGTTGAAACATCTTCACTTTATAAGTATAGAACTAATAACTCCAACAAACTACTTAGCCATAATCAAACAAGCAGGATGACCATGAAAAATTCACTTATGTAGCCATGCAGAGACTGCACCAGAAGACCAACTTACCTGTGGTAAATGTGGCAAAAAAGAGCATAACGTACATACTTGTAGTCAAAGGTATGCATTGAAAAAATAAAAATTAGCTCTTTAGTTTGAGGCAACATGTATAGATGCTTAATTTTTATATCTAATGTAAAGTTTAAATTTTTTTAATAAATATTATTGCAAAAATAATTATAACCAATGCTTTATTTATCCTTTATTCTCTTATAATAAATACATTCGGCAATTTGATAATTTTAGCTCATACTTTTGTAGTGCAATAGCCACGTTTTTTCAACTATCAATAATTTGGGCACCTATATGTAATATCAGGCACTTATATGTAATTATTTTTAGTCCAGGCACTTATTTGTAATTATTTTTACTTTCTGGGTACCTATATGTAAATTCCTTTAAAAAAAAATCATTGAATTTGGACAGATGGCTGTTAAGCAACCGTCAATTGAAGTTTATGTAAATAATTTTATTGCAACATTCTTTTTCTTAAATTTTTTTACAAAACTTTAAAAGATGATTTCTCAACACTTATGTATCCAAATTCAATGAATTTTTTTATTTTGCTTCTGCAAGTATTTAGAATTAAAATAAAAAAATTTTACTGAAATTCAATAGACAGATATTGAGAAATATCGATTAAAAGTTAAACAAAAATTTGGTTGCAGCTTTTTTTTTATGGATATCTTAAATTTGAATGAAGATAACTCGGCCATTATATAATCAAATTTGATCAAAATTTTTTTATTTTAATTCTGTGAGATTGTAGAATTAAAATAAAAAAATTTGATTGAATTTGATTAGGTAACAGTCGAGCTATCTTTGTTCAAATTTTAGATGTCCGTAAAAAAAAAAGCTGCAGCAAAAATTTTGGTTTAGCTTCTAATCGATTTTTCTCAACACCTGCCTATTCAAATTCAGTAATTTTATTTTTTTTTTAATCCTACGTACTGGTAGAATCAAAATAAAAAAATTTTCATTGAATTTGGATATTGGGTGTTGAGAAATCATCTTTTAAATTTCAAAAAGAAAAAATTTGCTGATTTGATTTTCTTTCCAAGATATTTCAAACTTTTTCAAAACTTCTAGCGAAGGTATCTCGACACCCACTGAACCAAATTCAATGAAGTTTTTTTTATTTTAATTTAACAAATACATAGAATCGAAATAAAAAAGGTTTTACTAAATTTGATCGAATGGTTACTGAGAAATCTTCGCTAGAAGTTTAAAAAAATTCAAAATTTTTAAAAGGATTTTCAATTTAATTGATTCTGATTGGTGAATATTTGGGCTCCGGAATCAGATCGGAAAGGATCTACAATGATCTTCAGCTCGGGATTTTCTTGACATAAGGGAACCCACTACAAGCTAAACGATAAGTATATTCATAACTTAATCTTATTGATATCGATATATTTGAGTTTGTGTAATCCTTTTTAAAGTCTGCGAATAACTGCGAATAGACGATCAATTATGCGGTTAGCTGCGAATAAGGATTTGTTTCACGTAATAATAATACAGTAATATATATAATTATTAAATGCGAAGCAGGCAATAACATGAATCATGAATCATTGTTCGGTACAGTAAAACTGTATTATGTAATTATAAGTCAAATGAATATCAAATAATATGTTCAAAAAATAAGTTGATGAAACAATTTGGATTAGAGATTTAGAAAAGCGGTCAGGAGAAGAACTCTGAAGTTTTTAATTGAAAAATGGAACTAAAAATACTTAAGCATATCAGAAACTTTAACATAAATGCAAATAGTAGTAGCAAACTAATTAGTTTATATTAATCAAAATCAAAATCGTATTTTATTTCGGAACTGTGATCAATATTTTATATTAAATATATCGGTAAAAAAAAAAACCTCTAAACAATGATTGGGTTCGAACGTGTTTTGAAAACGAATTCAGTTTAGATCTTTAAATGGGTTATGGCAATTCAATCTATATTCAACAGAATAGATAGCTGAGTATAATTAAATGTTAAATGTATATTGCTGTATTGAATTTATATAGATAATAACGTGAATGCCAACTAATCAAAACGCCATTTTCAAAATAAGATACTTCAAAGGTTTTTGACGTAAAGGGAAAAAATATAGATAGTATATAAACAAAATTTTTTATTATAATAAAGAATACTGGTTATATTGTCTTTTTTTTATATGTGCTGCAACTTGTAGATCCCTTAATTAAATCATTACCCTGAAAATTGACATTACACTTGACCGATATGGAGCAAAGGAAATTAGTTAATTTCCACCTTTCGGAATTTTCGGAATTATAATGATTATAACAGATAATGGCCTATCTGCTATATGCAAATATACAGTGGTTAGTTATTAGCGTTAGTAAAATTTGCTTGCTAATCAAATAATTTATATAGTTAATTACTTTCAATTAGTCTAATATACAAAAAACAATCACTGAATTATTCAAAAGGAATAACATGCTATGCAAAATCAATCCAACTGTAACAACGCAAAACCATCTCTATTCTATTATTTCATAGCTACGTTGAATACGTCATTTGACATCAATATAATAAACTATTTCACATTAACGTATCTTAATCTTAGAATATATCGCGCAGCTACCTAGTTGATTTAATTATGCAATCGAGTGAGATTCGTATAAATGTAGGTGATTGGAATTTAGTTTGGACGACATATTACTGTAAGAATTTTAATAATAATTTTTAAATATTAATAATTTTAAATAATCCGACATATAATCAATTATTTTTTTTGAATAACTTAAACGTACAATTTATAAATTTAGATTCAGATTTCGGATTTTAAATTCAATAGATTTACTGATTATGTTGAAGTTTTTGATTTCTATACAATCTCTCGCGTGTTGATGGGCTGGTTATCAAATTCCAAGAATTGTTTCTTGATTTCGGTTTCAATTAGACCTTCGATTTTTTTAAGCTAGTCTTCAATTTCATTCTTAATTTCATTTGCATCGCTCGGTTAATCTGATATAATTATCAGGTATCCTTAAAGCACATTTCGGCCGTTCTCGACAAATCCTTAATGAAAGTCCAGTATCAAATGGCCAGTTGTTTCCGTCATGATGACTCCAAAACTGCAGATATCTGATGCCTGTGTAAACGGATAAAGTATGACTCCATAAATTCTATTATCTAGTTGACATTTGTTAGTCCTTTAAATCAGCAATATGCATTATGTGAACTATCTTATAAAATATCGCCGTTATGAAGATCTCGATGAATAAATCCTTTAGAATGAATTGCTTCAAGATTAAAAACAATGGAATTTAAAATTTCTAATTTTTCATCCCAATTCATTAGCATAATAATGTTAAGAGTATTACATAAAGACCATTATTGGTATATTCCAATACAATAACATAATTTTCAGCATTTCGGAATATGATTATTTTTAAAACTAATCATTAATTTATTTGCCATTATCGCTGTTTCGAATGGTTGAAAGCAAAAAAAAATTTTTTTTTTTTTGCGAATATTGAATACTCGAATACTCAATTAGTTTAGAACATTAGTCACTATTATATAGATTGTAAAAACTAATCGAGTACTCGAGTATTCGAATATTCGCAAAAAAAAAAATCTTTTTTATAAACATTGCTATTTTCAACCATTTCGAAAACAGCGATTAATTTAGAATTTTGACATGTTAAATTCGAAGTCATAGCTTAAGCCAATTTCGACTAACACTAGGTATTCTGTGGATAAAAATCCAATTTACTATTAATTTATGAGACCGTATAAAGACAAAAATATAGTATAAAATAATTATCATTTAAAGAACTTATTTTAAGAAATAAGAATTAATAATCCACTTTTGAAACCAATAAATCCATTCCAGGAGCAGGTTTACATAAACCATTTGTTAGCTTTTTAAAAGTAAATCCTTCAACTAATTTAAACTCAAAATTTCTAATAAGCACAAGTAAAACGCATTTAAATTCTAAATGAGCCATTTTCATTCCTAAACAAGTTCTTGCGCCATTGCTAAAAGGTAGGTAATCATAATTTGATATTTTTGATTTCATTTCTGGATCAAGTCATCGAGATGGATTAAAAGATTTAACATTGTCACCCCAAATTAAAGGATCATGATGGATTGCGTAGATAGGAATAACCAATGGTGTTCCCTAAAAGAAAATTTCAAACTAATATTAATATCAAAATAAATTGAACTATGAATGTTATTTAGAAAAATACCTTTGGAATAAAGTATCCATTCATAATTTCATCTTTTGTAGTACAACGCATGACTGCAACCGCTTTAAAATAGAGATAAAGATAAGTAATTGAAGTAAAATAGAATATAAAGAAATAGATATCGAATCGTACCAGGTGGACTAATCCTTAAAGTTTCTTTAAAAACACAATCTAAATATTTTAAATGATCAATTTCTTCAAAAGTTGGAAAATAATTACGATCACTAAATTCATCAAATATTTCTTTACGAAGATGATCCTGAATATCAGGATGTTTTGCGAGATAGTATAGTGACCAAGTTAATACATTACTAGTTGTTTCATGTCCAGTCATGAGTAATGTCATAACCTGAAATTAATAATATATATGATTTATATAAAAGTTAATAAAGTTACAGTATATACAGTATATACAGTATATAATATTTTTAAAAAATTTTAATAAAAATTTACAAGAGAAAGTAATTCTTCATGTGTTAATTGTTCATTAACAGGCAAATTTTCATTTGTTTTTATCACCAAAGACAAAAAATCTTTTCCTTGAATAGTAGCATTTTTTTGTTTGGCAACTAGTTTCTCGGAAATATTGTTGACAGTTTTAATAGCATTCCAATATTTGTTATTATGTGAGGTTGGGATGTTTCTGACGAATGGAAAAAAGTTGAGAAGTGTCACATATAATGGCGAAGGAGGTTTACTAATTAATGAATGATATGCTCGAGCTAATTCAGAGTCTGAAGTAAGGGAGTCGAATTCATAATTAAATCCTATAGAAATAATTTGATTATGATTTATGATTAAAAATCATTATTGATAAAATCTAATGTTAGGAGAATACAGGTTAATGCATACCAACAAGGCCAATAATATCTAAGGTTATCTTTGGAATTAACTCAGTAATCGTAATTCTTTCCTCTTTCTTATTACCAATTTGCTTCAAAAAAAACATCTTTCAATTTATGACCAGCTTGAACGAATGTTGGAAGCATTTCCTTAAAAAATCGAAATAATCAAATATAAAAGATTAATATCTTAACAGATGGTAATATTGATAATAATAAAAGAATACCTTGACGTTAGCAAATGTAAATGAAGGATTCATCAATTTTCTTTGTCGTTTATGAACATTTTCTTCTGAAAATAGAACACTTTCTCTACCAGCAAGATCTTCAGTCAAAGTTTTCATTATGGTGAGTTTTAAAAACTCATATGAACGACTTATCAATACTTGTTGGATAAGTTGTTGATCGAAAATCAACAGATAAGGTTTCATGATACCGAACTATTTTTTGCTAGTTGAACAAAAACTTTGCCTTGCTTATCTTTTAACAAGGAGGTAAGATGTCCAAAAATGAAACTATCAACAGGTGGACCTGGAACTTTACGTAATGGTGACAAATATAAAGGATAAATATAACATTTGTACAAAATATAAGTAATGAACGTAAAAATTACTACTAAGTAGTAATTCATTTTAAAGTATAGTGTAAGAAGCCAAGGGAAGCGAATTTAATTAATACGGTTTCTCATAATTTTACAAATATTTACATGTTTTTTTTGTGAGGAGGACAAATATTACACCAATGGATGTAAATATCAGATGATTTGAAATATATGTGCAGAATACGGAAACACAAATTATAATGCTGAGTTAATACTATGTATGCATTTTTTATAACAGAAAAATTCTTCAAATTTATTTTTCCTATAACCTAACTTGAAAAAATAATTATAAAATTGAATTAAATTCAAAATAGTTTTACGTACGTACAGTACATACTGTATGTGCATAGCAATAATAGCATGCCTTAAAAATCAATTATTAATTACAAATGCTATCAAATATTGACTATCATTAAAACATTAGTCAAAATTTGGGTGTTAAACAGTTTGCTTACTAAAACAAGTTTAATCATTAATAAGTATGAAAAAGATAATATTTAAAACTAATATTTTTATTGGATAATATTAATTACTTGCAACTACTGGTTTAGCATTTATTGGTTTAGAATATTTTGATATTCAAAAGCCGACTTGAATAAATAACTTGTTTATGTATCTGGTAGTTATGTTGTGTCGACGTGGCTTGATTGAAATTTTTGCCATAGTTATTAATTTCTTTAATCTGCTTATATAATTCAGTTTTTCATTTCCCAAATTATCATGAAATTGTTTCAGCGTTTTAGCTAATTCGGTCGGTTTTGAGGTTAGCATCTAAGCATTTATTCATCAAATCCAAAAGTAGTCTGGTAATTTCAGGTCTATGACCTAAACAAATTTTAATTGCTAGATCCTCATCATGTGAAATATCATGATATGGAGATATCCAGTAAAAACTTATGACATGATTATTCCAAAAGAATAAATATCGGATTTTTGAGTATATTTCCCTCCATGCAACACCTCTGGAGCAATATAGGGAAGCACACCAAAAATTCCTTCAGAGCTTGATTCTTGGGACACTGACTTGCATACATCGGGAGAATTAAATAAGTGCAAATCTGCAAAAACCTGCGAAAATGCAAATTTTTGCAAAATTTTTTATATTTTGAAATTTTGCACAGAACTGTTACTTAATTTCTGTAGCTATAGCTGGTGAGTCTGAAGTCTTGCGCAGATTTTCATTTAATTTAATATTTAATTTTTTTGCAAATCTGCGCAGAACAGCACTAAAAAATTTTTCCCGATGTAAGCCAAAATCAGTAATTTTAAGAATTATTCATATTTCCGTTAATTATATTTCCGGTGGATTGTATTAAGCTCATCAACTATGCAAAATAAAAAAATATCTAATTTAAGTCATTATATTTGCTATCTAGAAGACTTCCTTGCTTTGTATGCTCTGTAACCATTATATAATTATGAGTATCCTTCTTTTCATCCTTTTTCGACACCGATTCCTTCTCTATAGCAGTATTCAACGATATTTATTCCTTCAGTATTGCCCATCTCTCCAGATTTTTTACAATACTCGAATGCCTTTTTTTCGTTCTTTCATTCCATAAACATTATCCATCTCTGCAGCTATTTTATAATATTCGAATGCATTTTTTTCGTTCTTTTTCGCCTTTGAGTCCTAAAAGATACTCATTACCCGTATTGAATACCATATCAGAATCATATATGTCATAAGCATTACGTAATGTATAATCCTTTTGATAAAATATTCCAATTCCGAAAATTCCTTTGACGCCTAATATAGCAGCTCTTTGAAAAACGGTAACGCATTACATTCGTTCTTGACTACACCAACTCCGTAACGATAGAAATATCCAACCATGTATGCTCCTTCAGCAAGACCCATCTCGAAAGATTTTTTGCAGTATTCAAAGGCTTTCTTTTTATCAATTTCGATTCCGTGGTGATAACAATAACCAACTTGAAAAATTCTAAGTACAAAATTTCGCCAGCAGCTTTCTGGTAATAGTTAAAAGCTTCCTTCACATTCTTGTCAACTCCAATACCATGTAGATAAATGTACCCAAAATTATAATTTTTGGATGAAATTATTTGAATATTTTAGATTCATATTTTTATATGATTATGAAAAAAGTGTTGATGTATCACTGGCGCAAAAATTTTGCAGTCCCGTGGTTTTTACCCAATCCGATTGTAAGATCAATGTGTAACATACAAATTCGAAAGTAAAAAAAAAATTAAAGAAATCACAAAATCTCATTTGATATGGAAACTAGTTTTCTGTTATCAAATAAAGTTTTTGATTTTATTAATGCAAATATTTATGTTTAGACGAAATTACATAGAATCGTTGTTGAATTAGTTGTGGGACCACCAATTTTTTGGGGATCCCATCAACTCACCGACAATCACTTTGTAGACACCACATTTCACTGACAATTACTTACCGACAAGTTCGTTTCACCGACAGTTTATTTCACTGAAGCTCATTTTACAGACAAAGTAATTCTGGTCAATATCACTAGAGTTAGGTTAGAACTAGAGTTAAAGTTAGTGTAATTTATAAAAAAAAACTTGTCGGTGAAATGAGCTCGGTGAAATAGACTGTCGGTAAAATGAACTTGTCGATGAATAATTGTCTATGAAATATGGTGTCTATGAAGTGATTGTCGGTGAAACAATACGGACCCAATTTTTTGTGCCATGACTATTTCACTCTTTAGCGGTAGCATTTTTTTTTTATTAACAAGATATTCATTATTTCGGAAGGTATTTATCTTGTGGTGCATTTTGTAGTACAGTCAAAGAATTCAGTAATTTATTGATATTATCAAAATATTGATTTAAAAAATTTAAATGTCAATTTATTAAAAAAGATTAAAAATTGATTGGAAGCTTCCAACCAATAACACTGTTGAAATGAATAAAAAATATACTTCCTGCACGCAATATAAATTTCAATAATAAAAAAGACTTATTGAGGTTTCAAAGTTAAATATATATATAGCGTATTTTAGAAATAAGTGGAGGAGTGTTTGGAGACCCCACCATTTTTCAGTAAACTTTTTAATGACAAATATTATTATTTTCAAATTATCGAAAATTGGTATATTGCTTATTTGAAAATAAATACGTCATCAATTTCTATCAAAATCAGATTCCTCATTTTAATTTATTCTATAAATTCTGGAACTACCAATGACCTCATCAGCGAATCTTTCAGATGTCCTAAGATTTATAGTAATAGCTGAAAAGCACAATGCCATCAAAGTGTTATAGTGAAATATAACAAAAAAAATAAATTTATATAACAAACAACGAAAACAATGTAAGGCAACTTATCAGAGGCAATTACAATGGTAATTTATTAAATAGTTGAATTGATAACCCGTAGGTCCTATCCTATGTTTTTACAAAAGAGAAAATATGACTCTTTTATACAGTATTTCATTTTATTTTATATTCTGGTCTAGAGGTCTGATCCAGTCGAAAAATAAGTATTTGAATATTCATTCGTTCAATCTTTTTAATATCCGAATATTCATAGAGTTGTCGATTCGGAACAATAATGAATAACAGCTATTATCATAATTTCTAGGGCACCTGATAAAAATTGGCCGAATGATTTTCGGCCGGTTCGATTAAGTTTAATAAAGATTTATCTCGCTCATCTACTTTGGGCTCATGATTATTAGCATTGATACCAATCAGTATATAAGATTGAGCATGACATATAACACCAATATTACATTTAATTGGTCGATTAAATAGTATATATTCATTGAATATTCAATGAATTATTTGGTTAAAAATTTTTATATTCGAATATTCAATTAAGTGAACCAATTATATATCCGAATATTCGAATATTCATTGAATATTCGAATATACTATACATCGGATCAGATTTCTATCCTGGTCTATCCCAATATATTTTTTGTTCATCATTTTTGCGCTTGGGACTCATTACCTTAGCAAATACATCTATGCGTGTACCATCTTTATTATTATTTATTATTAGGACGTCGGCCATCCCGGCGTAGAGGTTGGAACCGGTTTCAATAATTCAAGTTTATCACATTAATTTAAAATTTTATCAAATTTGGATTGAGTAAACTTATGATAAATTCGAAAATATCACAAAATTTATGTGATTACCCCAGCGTAATTTAGAGGCTTTTAATTCTACATCTATCCTACAAAAACAAGATAGTTTACTCTTAAAAAATTAAATTGTGGAAATTATATCATAGGGTCTTTGCCTCAAAAATAACCTTATTAGACATATATTCCATAAGATCGTTTTCAAGGCAAAAACCTCATATCATACCATGAATGTGATGTAATATAATTAAAGTAACGAACTGTTTCGTTAAATAATGGCGCGTCAAAATCCGTGATAAATGTTCCTTCCGTTAATTCATATACATTAGAAAAGAGCTCCCATAAGATGCATTCTTCTAGTAGTCTAAAAATGCTCTCGTTAAGAGACTTCCAGATTAGTGTTGGCGGTAGAATTACTGAATTACGGCATTCTACCATATGGTAGAATTAATTACGGTACAGTATGTGCCACATGCCGTAATATCATAATAATATAGTACTTTTGTAGTGTAATAATGCGATACCGTAATACTATAACATTATAATAATTATTAACCATTGATAATTTGATTTTGCTAATAATTCATATGTGATTAAAATAAGATATTCAAATTTGTAGATATACATTATATTTACATATATCTTAATTTCGCATTAATCTGATTCGATTAAGTATATTAGATATTATTTTAAGTAACTTCAAGAGAAAATGAAACTTCAATCATATAAATTCTGGATGATTGAAGTCACATTTCTCTTGGCGTCACTAATTTATTACTGTATTAATCAGTATACTTTAAGAAAGTACAGAGTAATAAAAAAAAAAGTTCATAGTCAGTTATTTAAAACAAAGCTGCTTGCGAATCTTTGGTAGGGTCTTTCAAAATTAACATTTTAGCAGATAAAAATCAAATTTGGAATTTCAAATGTCAAATTAAACAGTGTATTTGGCAATTCAGTTTATAATGTAATTAACAATAAATGTGATTATCATTTAAAACTCTTATGCTTATTATACTGCAACTTAATTTCGCATTAATTTAATCAAGTGAACTTGATATTATTTATTAAACCAGTTCCGCTCACTTCCTTTTGTAGACACAAGACTTCATCAACAAGTTTATTTTACAGATATTTAAATCACTGACGATTAATTATCGACATGTACATTTTACTAGCACATTTATTTCACCGAAACTTAATTCACTGGCAATTAATTCACCAAGTTTAATTCGTGTAGTTTGAAGAAAAGGAACTCGAATATATGATTAAACACTCAGCTTAAGTTAGGGTTAGTGTTATGGTTTAAATTAAATTACTATCATTCTTCTTACACCAATTTCTTTAAATTAATGATCCACAACACCCATGACTGAAATATAACATAACTTGCTTTACTGTTGCCAATTTAATCATGAATATAATAATTATGTTGTAGATCTGCAGCTTGAGCGTTTACGTCAATAGTTATTTGCTTCCGCATTAGTAAAAATAGAACAATTTAGGATAATTTAGGACAATTTAGGAAGTTTTAGAACACTCAAAAACAATTCTTTTATTTTTAGGATAATCGAAACCAACTTACTCTCAGCTATCATATAAGAAATAACCTTGACCGAACAGTAAAAAAAAAAAAAATTAAGATCTTTTGCTATGAACTTTGATGATCAATGATTATCTATTCACAAAACCAATAAATTTACTATGCGTTACCTTAATTCTAAAAATTACTTTAAACAATAAATACTAGTGGAGTGCTATTATATGTTATTCTATATTATTACAGCATTACAGTATTTTAACACATTACTGCAATAGCATTATAATATTTAAATGCAACAGCATTATAGTATTTCAATATAACGGCATTGCCGTAACCGTATTAATTTGCCAAATTACCAACACTATTCCAGATAAAGCTGTAGAATTTTGTCTAAGAAACTTTTCTATTGTTTATAGGCTATCTTGTTAAAAACTCTAATAAAATAATATAATAAATGCAATATAATAAATATATGAAAAATAATATATGAAATTTAATTTACAACCCTTCTTTTGTTCTTCTACGAATTCAAGTATTTCCTCCGGAATTTCAAGTTTTTTGAACTTTGAGGTAACATGTGACCAAATTACCAGAACTGTTATGTTTTTTTTGTTGAAAATAAAAAATAGAAGATGCACCCAGTACTTATATGATGAATATTTTGCTTGGATGGGTGACCTTCTACTAGACAATTGCTGAGGAGTATGTTGCTACAACTTAAGCAACTTGATATCCAAACCTTCACCACTTTTAATAATTTCTGAGATCATCTTTGTATACGTAATAATTGAGCGGAATCAAATAATAATGAGGTCTTTTCTACATGTGGTATATTATAAGCTCATTCTTCATTATGTAAAACTTAAAATTCACATACCTCAGACTCCTCATCCTCAATATTTAGTCCTATGTACGTACGATAGTTTTTTTAAATGGATAAAGTTAGCTAGTTTACATACAAAAAATTTAAACCAATAATTATTTTATTACCTTTTTTGATTTTATATCCTTTTGATCTAAGGCATTACTAATTATTTTCTTATTCGAAACAATTCCTTGAACATTTCCAGAAACTGTAGAGTTATTAATGCTGATTAAGAAGTTATCATTATTCCAGTTTCGTGATTTTTGACGATCAGATCGATCATTCTAAACAAGAAACTTGGAGGATTAAATAATAATATTCTTGATTAACTCACCACATTACATTCATTTTATTTTTATCCACCGGGTCAGCATTTAGCCTTGAACGTAAGACAACCCTCTAGATTGCCCACGCCCCAGTGGTGTTAATGCTAGGTCAACCTTTAGTCTTGAACGTAAGACAACCCTCTAGATTGCCTGCCCTAGCACTAACTTTGTAGCTCACCCTCTAAATTTGAATATATGAAACCCTCTAGATCCCGCACACACTATCAAAATTTCTATCTATTTATATCTTTTTAAACAAGAAAAGATCCATTCACCTCTCTATATTTTCCAAGCAACTCTTTTGCTCGTTTACTCCTTTGCCCTTCTTCATTGTTGGCAATAGCCTCAAGAGATCTAAGATAAACACCTATTTTTTCACTTAAGTCATCTCTGTCTTCATATTCCTCTTAAAACTCTTCGATATTCCACCTAGAGCAACTTATTCAGGTATCTAATTTTTTATAAATCAATGAAAAGAAAAGTTTAATGTTAATTCATAATAAATTGATTCTGTCAGAATTCAACTGACAATAAATTTGAACATATTTGAAAAAAAATAAAGATCTCTGCCGCGAAAAAATTTTGCTAATCACATGTAACAGCTGCTCTGTCTTACATGTTTAATGCGTCGAGTATAGTTGTTAGACGAAACCTTTTTTGCTTGGTGATGAAAGACGAAACCCTTAGTGCTAAAAAAAATCCCCTTGGTGCTCCAGCTAAAAAAAAAAAAAAAAAACTGAATTGATAATAATAGTGATAATAGTGAATCCCTACTTCTCTCGCTAAAAAATTATTAGTGAAATTTGGTCTAGATGAAGCTATCAATAAAAATAATAAAATTATCTCTATAATTTAGATATTTAACCTGTCGAATGAGGCTTTCTATTTATATTTATTACTGAAGATGTTTATTGACTTGTACGTATATTTAGGTTTTAAAAAGCCAATTACAGAAATTATAAATAGCAAATAAGCTATTAGCATCTATGTTTAATGCCGAAGATGTTTATTGGCTTGACCCGGCTTGTATATTTAGGTTTTGAAAAGCCAATTACAGAAATTTTATAATTGAAGATCTGAAAACAATGTATGTACGTACGTACCTCTTATTAATTTTTATTATCTGTGCTAATTTAGCTAATTTATTAATAAAAAGTCTTTTATTGATTTAGCCAATAGGCGTAATGATTTTTTAAAATACCATTAAATAATATGCTATAAGATACGTAATTATACCATAATCAAATTTTGCATATTTGAAAAATTTTTTATTGTGGTTATCGTATTGGAAGTTTTTTTTTTCAAATTGCTCAATTTTAAAATGCAAAAAAGAGCTTACGCACATGAGCAAATCGCAATAAAAAATAATGGTAAAAGACGATGAAAAGTTCGATGTCTCCGGAACAGAAATTGGCATATAAAAAAACAAGTCAGAAAAAAAGACAAGCTTGTTATAAATTCGGCGTCGATTTCAGATAAAATAAGTGATGTGTTTATTCAAAATTAGCAACATATAAATTCTATTTCTTTTAAAGTATGTACTTATTTACATAATCGTTTACCAATGAATGTTTATCAAAATAAAAGCTATTTAATTTTCTTATTCGGAATTCTAAAAAAGAAAATATGACCTTTTAAACTCCCACTTATTTTGAAAAAAGTTAATTCTGAAACCCAGTGTAGAAAATAGCGTTAAGGGTACATATGATATGTACAATATTCTAGTATATCCGGTTTGGCCGTCGAACAATTTTGTGGCTCCATAATTTTCCAAGCCGGCTTCTTGGATAATTTCTTTGATGTCTTCAGGAGAGGGAGAATTAAAAGGTCGACAAAGCAATTTGCTGTCGAGTTTGTGGGCTGCTGCGGCTAAAACAGTTTCTAATAATTGGCCGTAAAATATGCAAATTATTTTATTGCAAAGAAAAATATATATATTGATTATGAAAATATTTATAAAGTTAGACATATGTCCAATTAGCCCTAGCCCACATGTCCAATTGGACATATGGCTAATTGGTCAATTGGACATGTGGACAACAACTAAGGTTAATTAGCCACTTGTCCAATTAGCCATATGTCCAATTGGACATGAGGGCTAGGGCTAATAATTTTTTATTGGACTTAAGGCTAGTAACAACACTGTAAACTAGAGCTTGAACCTGGAGTTTATGCTTCGAGTTTATGAACTCAAGTTCAAACTCAAGTGACGATACATTTGGGGATTGACCAATCAGAATTAAAGCCGCCCTGCTCCATCCGAAAGTTCAACTGGCTAATGATCACATGGTTTAGTATATGGTGGGATTCTGGTAAATTCCGAGAAGGAAAATGAATAAGCATAAAATTCAGGCTAAATTTTTGGAAAGTTTACCGAAATTTTCTAGAAGTATGGTATTCGTCATTAACCATAGCTGCCACAACAAAATTGGACTGGCAGATCTTCGATTTTGGCCGAGGATCTTCAAAATGTTGGCCCACATTACAAAATTATTTACTAATTTCCGGCCGGAATTAACTTTTTAATTTTTCTTTACAAAAATAGAAATTTTTAAAAATTAAGCCCGCATTATAGTAAAATTGGCCCAGGAACAATTTTCACTAATGGGTGGCTATGATTTCATTAGTAAAATTATGAGTAATTTTTGGTCGTCGCTCTTAGCCAATCAAAATCGAGAATCTGCCGGTCCAAATTTGTTGGTTAATGTAGTCGGCTGTGCTAAGCCAGCCGACTAAAACCTTACGGCTTAAATCACTAAATCATATGTACACCCTAACCCTAATCCAACTAGGAAATTTCAAATCCACTTAATTACCAGTTTAATCGATTCTCGTTATAGCTTATGATTTATTCCTGGTGTTAGTGGCAAAATCGCTACTCCCGTGATGTCACCAGACTCGAGCGAATGATCAAATAAAAAAAAACTAAAAATAAAATATATATATATATATATATATATATCAACTCGACCCACACGTGTAAGACATGATTTGGCCAAGAAAGAATAGACCCACCCGGCTAAACCCCCAAAGAAGCCTTAATTGGGAAATTGCCACATAAGCCATCGGGAGAGAATCGTGGCCAAAATTATGGCCAAATTGCGGCTAAATCGTGGCCCAAGACCACGGTAACCCGAGAAAATAAAGACTGGGCGGAAATTATAAGTTCGTGGAAGGCCCATCTTCCTGTGAATGACAAACCAAGCAAGGCTGAAAAAGGGCGATGATCTGATGATTGTCCGTGGGTAATGAGTATATTAGGCAAGAAAAGTGGCCGTGTGGAAAAAAGTGAAGTGAAGAGATGCAAAAAACGTCATAATAATGACGTAAGGGGCAAGACTAAAAATTCTTTAGCTTCTTTTCGTTTTTTTTTGTTCTTTCATTTTCTGTATAAATAGAGTAGCAATTTGCTACAGTTGTAAAGGCATTAAAGTCCAACTTCAAAAAAAATAACCGATACGATTTAAATATAATCTGTGATACCTTTTCTTGCACAAAAAGTCATTCATTTGGTTCTATATTATATTCATACATAATAAACCAATTCGTCTTACCTTGCCAAATCCTCATCACCGCCTCTGGTTTTGGTTTTGTTGAGTGGGTTTGTGTAGTTTGGTTGTTATCCCAATTCGCTTCTTTCCTTTGATTAGCCTCCAACATTAGCTATTCCTGCGATAGATTGGTTTATCGGGCTACCGCATGTTTGCTTGGTGTAATTACAGTAGTATAAACTGATGGTTAATTTTGGATAGAAATATTTCTTTAGAATCTAGATATCCTAATATGTATTATAGAGTTTGTAACCGATTGAGAACGGAATCCTCACATGATCTTCTATGAAATAAAGTCATCTGGTCGAGTGATAATATTTACAATAATAATCTGAATTTGGCATGCAAATATTATCTGTTGCACAAACTTTTATAACCATATATTCCAGTGATTTTGAGTATGACTAGATACTTGTGTTCTGAACAAAATTGTTAAAGCATCTTAATAAAATGTTACTTTAAAGTTCTGAAAATTTTACTTTCCAAAAGTATGTAACATTCATATATCGACTGTTTTATAAATACATTTATAATAACTCCATTAAGATGATAATTCATAATATTCAAATACTTGTTACATTAAAAATTTTCTGATACATTGTTAGAGAACACTCGTTTCAAATATTATCAATTTCCATTTTCAAATAATTTAAAAACTATTGAAAATTAAGCACGACAATAACAATTAATTTAATAGTTCTTATCTGCTTATAAACTAAAATTTTATGAATTAACTATTCAGAACATTTAAAGGCTCTTTACGGAAATATCCAAGATTTTTTCTAAGTGTGATGTAGTGATACTAGCGTTAGGATCCGATTTTGTAGCAAGAGCCTAAAAAAGAAATATTTATTAGTACTATTCATAACACATTAAATGTTAAAAAGGCAAATATTAAGAGGGTAGCTACATTAAAAGGGTTAGGGAATTCAATCATTATTTAATTCAAATAAAAAGATTATTCTTTCTAGCAGCAATATAAAATCTTATTCGGCAAAATATTTGCAAATGCTAGGATATCAATAATGTAATTATTTGTCGGTACCTTTGCCAGTTTAATGGCAGTTTTAATTTCTAAACCACGCTGTTTTAATTTATCAATATCAACATGACTTTTATCTTTACCATCGGCATGATCCAAGAAAGTACGCCAAATTTGGGCACGTGCTAATTCGTCAAGTTCGTCATATTTTAAAGTTACACTAATCTTCTGTACAGTATAAAAAGGAATCCCATCAACTCACCGACAATCACTTCGTAGACACCACATTTCACTGACAATTACTTACCGATAAGTTCATTTCACCGACAGTTTATTTCAAAATTGAAATAATAAATAAATTAAATTTCACAAAACAAAGGAAGCTCGGGAATAAAAAGCTTTATCGTGATTTTCAACTATATAAATTTGATTGTAAATAAAAATCTAAAGCTTGTTCAATTAGCAAAAAATAATTATAATACATACCACGGTTGGTTGTAAGAAAGAGAAATCCTTGATGATATTCTAATAATCTTAGGAATATTCCCACCATACCATAACGATTTACATCATTTTTACTTCTTTATTCAAATAAATTATCAACTATAAAGGAAAAAATACTTAAAATTTATATTTTTAATACTGACAAAAGAGAAATACTATACGAACCTTCGTCAATGTGAATGACAGCATTCCAAACATTTGCAACTTCAAGAATTTCACCTAATTTAGCTTCTAATTCATAAGATGTTCTACCTAATTCACCAACACTGACAGCATATAATGGACGATGCAGATATTCAGAGACAGTTTCAGCAGTTAATGTTTTACCGACTAAATTATTTCATTAAATCAACTTTTAATCAAACACCATAAAGCGCAAACCTCTGTAACCACGTGATTATCACGAATTTTACTATTAAAAATGTCACAACTTTTAAATATCGGGTAGTGAAATTTTGTAAAATTTCGTGTGACGAATATCGGGATAAACACGTGAATATCACGTTTTGAATCCCGTGACATCACATCTATTGTTAGATTCGATTATGTCACATGTTTACATCTTAGGCCGAATGATTCGAAAATCTTAAAAAATCTTACTTTCCCCGCCCACCCACCCTGGCGCGCTTCGCGCAAACACGGGCCCCAGGACCCGATTGGAGATTTAAAACTCCGACTAAGTGTCAAGAAAATTTGACTTTGGAATTTGAGTTCCCACAAATTTTCGGGGC